GATATCGTCGATGTAAACACAACAGAATTTTGAGTGTTTATTAAATATAGTATCCATTTTACGCTGAAATTCTTGTGGTGCATTTTTTAATCCAAAAGGCATAACAAACCACTCATAATGTCCTTCAGGACATGTGAACGTTGTCCATTTAATGGATTCATCAGCCATCCGAATTTGCCAAAATCCTAATTTACAGTCAAATTTAGAAAACTATTTTCTATCTTGGATTTGATTTATTAAAATATCTTTATTAGGAATTTTATAACTATCATCATAGGTATTATCATTTAATCTTTTATAATTTATAACCATACGAGTCTTTCCTCTTTTTATTTCGGCATGATTTCTAACCATAAAAGTTAGACTCCTATGTCTACTATTATTTTTTCTTATTACTTTTAGTAATAGCAGTTCCTTAATTTGTTTTTAGAATTCTTCTTGATCGTCTAAGGTATGAGGATTATCTTGTGTCTTTATAGTTATAAAAGGATTTATTATATTTAATTTTGCTTCAATTTTATTTTTATACCAGTGTTTCTGGGGGTCTTCACCTAGAATCTCGGTAGTTTTAGCTAGTCTTATAAGATTATCAATGTTTAGTTTGGGGTTTTTTAATATAACTTTATTATTAAGGAAAATCTTTGGTTCATCAAGATGACTAAGAAACATTAAGGCTTCAGAAACGTCTTCTAAAAATTCGGATACATCAAATAAATTTTCTGTCATTTCTTCTGTCATAGGTAAAGTGTTAACATATGTAATGGCTCGTTTATCTTTTTGAGGAATATAAGGATCTCTAGATGGAATAAAGGTTCCTTTCTTAAAAAACTGTAAACCTGTAGGGGTATACATAAATCCTCCGGTGAGTGAGTTTATAAAATTTAATCCTAAGATAAAATCATAGGTGCTAGGAATATTATTAACTACATAAGTCTGGGGTAAAACAAACTTTTCATTATTAATTAATATAGGAATGTTTTGAACACAATGGGTTATTGGAAGTTTTTCATTATTATACTGGCTCATGTTAACATTATAATTTAACTTTCCTAAGGCTTCTTCCGGGACTAAATGTTTTTGAATTATACTTTTAGATGCTCCAATATCAAACATAGCTGAAGTTTGAACTAATTTTTCTCTAAATTCTATTGTTACTGGGAATTGAATTAGACTAGATGGTTTATATATTGAATTTATAGATTCGATTAAAATATCTTCTTACTTATCTTCATATTTGGTATAACAATTATGACATAATAAAGTTTTACAATGGTTTTCACAGTAATGACCTTTTTTAATAGATGTATTGCACTATTTACAATTATAAGAAGAAAATTGAAAACTAACTAAGCTATACTGACATGATAGATTACTTATAGTGTGAACGAAATCTTCTATTGAATGAAGCCCTTGTTCAAAGTCTTCATCATTATCAAAGTTACTATCTAAGCTCTCGATACTATATATACTTTCATTATCATCGTCAGAGTCATAAATACTTTCTAGTTCATCTAATTCATCTATCTGTTCTTCAATATCTTCAAGTATGTTGATCTTTTCTTGTATCTTTTTAATAGGATTCTGTTTGTATCGATGAGGGTAATTTGGTCTAATGTGTCCTGGATCTCCACAAATAAAACATTTGCAGTGTCTTTCTTTTGTGGGTAAAGTGTTTACCTTATTATCCTTATCTTTGTTATCCTTTTTATCTTTATTCATCTTTTGCTTTTTGTACCAAGGCCGCTTTCTGAATTGCCTAGGGTTAGTTCTGACATAAGGTTTTTTATTACGAAAGTTCTTGTAGGTCTTGCTTTTACGCAGATTATATTTTTTAGGTTTATTGTGCTTATAATTGTAATTTTTCTGAGGTATACACTCATACTGGGGTGGAAAATCTATTTGTCTACATGTATAATAAAATTATTTTTTGATTTATTTAGACTCTTTACGTTGTCGACACTCTGCTTTTAACATGTTATACACATGATTAACTCTATCTCATATGGTTAGCATATCGCGTCTAGGATTTTCTAACCATTTTTTTCCATATTTTAGTTCCTACGCTTCCGGGTAACTTCTGAAGATATCGATCAAGTAATGTTTTATCACCTGTTTTACCAGTGGCTGTAAAATACTCAAAAAATTTATTGGTGTAGTTTTTTATGTATCTAAAATCACAAATCTGTAGTAATTCTAAATTACGTAAAGCTTCGTTTTGTTTTATTAAGGTGTCATCTAATAATCTATCTTCACCAACTAATACTTTTTTAATGAGGCTGGTAAAGCCTTGAATGGTAAAATTATCACATAAGATGGCATAATCATTGGGATAAATTACTTTATAAGCTGCCACCAGTCATGAATGGTTCCTCTTAATACGGTTTCACAATAGGTTAAGGCTTGAGTTTTATTGTCAAAATTGGTCAAAATAGATTGCTAAATACAATCTTGTTCCCAATTTTCGATTACCTTTGCCCAGTTTTGGGGATCGTGCCTTGCTATGTCTAATATTGTTCCTGATTGTTGCGTTGGTATATTTTCATATTATCTACGATATTGTGTTAATGTGTACATATCTGGTATATTTCTATTTTCGACATAAGTTTCACGTGAGGGATTTAATCTTTGTCCAGTAGTAAAGTCATCTCTTAGGGTATTACTACCTGAGGTGTTAGTCTTTCTTTGGTCACTCATTTCTTGGTCGATTGACTGAAAGTCTGATCCTTCTGGTGCTTTCCCTTCTCTATGTTCTATTACATTTAACTCTTCTTTTACTGTGTTTAATTCTAATGCTATATAGAAGGATTCAAATTCGACACTTAAAATATTTTTCTTAATATCATCATTATTTCCTTATCCTAAATAAATACTTTCGATAAGTTGGTATTTAGGTTCTGGATACTTGTCTTGCAATGCTTCTAATTCTAAATTATCAAAATCATACATTATTTTATCTAGAATTTTATCTTCTAATCTATCATAAAGGACATTTATTTCCTCAGGAGATTCTATCTCTATTAGTGTAGTTAAAAAGTCTTCTTAAGTATCATCAACTAAATTGTCTTATCTTTTATAATTACTAAACCTTATGTTAGCATCTCCGCTATTTGAAACATATATCATATTTTTTTCGGGAATCTTTTTAGGTGTAGTAGTAAGTTTAGGTAATTTCCATTATGTTCCTTCATTGGTAATACTACTTATTTTTCTGGTTTCTATCATCTGGACATATTTGCTACTAAAAGGTTTAACTATTTCACTAAATTAGGCTTTAAAGTTTAAGTTATATTGATTAACTGCCTTTCCCATAAATAAAGTATTAACTAATAGATTTTCAAATTGGCCTGTCATATTATATCCTTTTGTAGATATAGCTATCTTAATATGTTTACTAAATTCTCTAGTAGTGATTGTATAATTAGGAATACATCCTACTATTGCGGCATTGTCGGCTAAGTCTATTTCGGCGCTAGCTATTTGTGCTTATTGATGGTTATTCCATCGATCATCATAAATATAAGTAAGTGTTCTAGTTCCAATTTCTGCTCTGTTTAATCCCACTAATCCTATCATTATGATGCCTAAATGCATAAGTTTTAAATTATTATCATTTAATTCTTGGCATGCTTCGGGTGTTATAAGGTCTAAAATAACTTGATTGTTAACTGCACTTATTTTTCTTTGGCTAAAATGATTATATATCTTACTCTGAAAATTTAATAAATTATTAGAATAAAGATTAACTTTATTTTTTACCTTCTTCATTCCTTATTCTATATATTTTTTAGCATCATGTTCATTATCATATATATCTTCTACTCTCATTATTTCTTTGGCTTTTCTAAGGATAATGGCCATTGTGGTATTTGCTTATGAAGTTGAGATTGTAGTAAATTTACACGTTTGGCTGTTGTAGGAGAAGATTGGTTATTGGCTGACAATTTTATTTCTTTTATAATTTCTGATAATTCAGATAATTCTTTAGAAGATTCTCTGGGAATACTTTCTTGTATCACTTCTAATTTCTCTTCAAGTTTATTAATTTTATCAGATAACTGGAGTAATAATTGGATTAAAAAGTTATTTTGTCTAATATGTACATTAATTGATTGTACGTCTGTTTTAAAGCTTGTAAATCCTATGGGTTCTTTATCAATTTTGTAAAGTTCAGCTAACGCAGTTAAATAATCAGGACTACTGGTGCTCATAAAATTATTGTAATAACCTTTGGATATCGATTTTAAGGGATTTTAAATAGTCTATGATTATTTTTTGATTTTCAGTATTACTTTTGATATCACTATTAATATCTTTAATGACGACCAATATTATCTTGTTATCTAAATTATTTGGATTAGAATTCTGTACTACTTGTTCTTTAATATAATCTAAATTTTCTCTTAATCGTTTTATAGAAGTATCTAAATTATTAAAGTCAAGTTTATTCATAAACTAAAATTGTTGCCGTCTAGCTTCCAAAATATTTTGTATTAATATAAGTCTAAATCTAAGTTCTTCAATTCTTCTTTGTAGACTACGTGTTGTGTCTCCTAATTCTAGCGCTATACAGCAGTTCCTAAATGCTGTTTGACAAAATTCTAAGACTTGAATAAGTTATTCTTTGGGTAAATTGTGCATAAAGTAAACTCCTAGGGGTAAAAATATAAATTAAACTTAATAAAGGACTAAAATAGAACTTGGTTCATGTATTTGTAAATATGCAAACTACGTTATGGGTAATATACTTACACTAAGACTTTACTGTAAAAGTCCCTTTTTTTTTTTATCTACTTATATGAGAAAAGATTTAAGGGTAACAATTCCCTCCATTAACCCTCCTTGATATGTTGCCACTGTAAATATATCTATCTATATATATAGATATAGATATATTGCAAGTTCATATATATCAACCCATAAATTAAAGGAGTAGCTAGTAGCGCACAAAAAAGCACATATAAATATATATATATATATATTAAACTCGATCGTATGGATGGTCACCCATGCTTGGTCATTCTTCTTTCTCCATGGTGTTGCTTGTATGATGGGTCTTGCATCTTCTTCACTTCCATAGCGCCAAACACCCCATATGCGCTACTTTCATCATAATGACGGCCACCGCCAGCATCAGCATGACCATCACCATCATCATCACCATCATCATCATCTTGAGCCATTAAATCATCCCCATATTTTATACTCTCCATTCTCATCTGCATTACCTTGGCTTTAGGATCATAGCCTTTCAAAAGGTTAACCACTTCCTTCATGTTAGGGCGCTTATCGGGCTCACTTTGGACGCATAATGCAGCCACATTGATTGCCTGTTTCAATTGGGTTTCATCAAAACTTCCACGAAGCTTTGGATCAACAAGATCTCTAAACCTTCCTTTCACTATCAATGGCTCAGCCCATTCAGTGATGGTCCTCTTAACGCCACCAGAAAGCTTTTCAATTGGTTTTCTTCCAGTAAGTATCTCCAGTAGAAGAATCCCAAAGCTGTAAACATCACAACTCTCTGAAACCTTTCCCCACATGGCATATTCTGGTGCTAGATATCCCAAGGTCCCCTTAACCCGGGTGGTCATGTGGCTAACACCTTCTGGAATTAGCTTCGCGAACCCAAAATCAGCAACCAGTGGCTCAAAATTTGAATCCAACAGCACATTACTAGCCTTTATGTCTCTGTGAATTATGTGGGGTGTCACCTTATGATGCAAGTACCTATATATCATCAATATGCAAGTACATCCAACAATTAATTACTTGCTTTGTTACAACTTTTTCAATTTTACAACTCAATTCACCATATTGCAATTGTAACAAGTTTGTACATATTGCTTAACACTATATTTTTTATAACTTAATTAAACCATTTCAATTATTTCCCATACATCAATTTGCTAGATAAGATAATAATGAGACCATTTTTTATAAACCTGTCAATTCTACATGATAGATTTAAAAGTGCATAAATTTGTTTCCATCTGGTATAAAAAGGCTTCTGGGAGATTATAATTATCTTTCACAGACGACAAACAAACAAAATTTATAATACAAACATAATCACTTAATAAAGGGTAAAGCTACAAAAAAAATCTCCTTGAATTATTACCCTTTTTGCAAACAACCCTTGAACTATTTGTAATTAAGTATAATCTATCGCAAAAGTCTATTTTACCCTTTTTCATTAAATTTGTCATTTCTTGCTAAATTATTTTTATTATATTTTCTCTTATATATATATTAATTATACTATTTATCTTAATTTTATTATTAGTATCAATTTATCATAAAAAAAAAAAAAAAAAAAAAAAAAAAGATTTGTAATTACTATTTTTTAAAATGATTAACTTATTATATATTACATGGACAAATGTAGAGAGAATTTAAATGTTGAGAGAATTTAAATGTGGAAAGAGGAAAAAAGAGATAGACTATTCATATTTAGCTCCAACCATTTGTTTAAAAATGTATCTGTCAATAACAACCAATCACCTGTCCCCACATAACTTATACAAACCTACTTAATATAGGGTTAATTTATTAATGAAATGAGAAAGAGGGAAGAAAAAAGAAAATATAATCATGTGATTGTGTAAAAGAATGGTTTAAAGAAGATAAATTTAATAATTTACAAGAAGGTGGTGTTTCTCAAAATGATGTTCCAAATTAACAATTAGTTATTGGGCATTGAAAATTCTTATTATTGAGTAGAAATTATGGGTTTTGAGCATTTAAACAATGAATTAGTGGACATTAAATAAAAAAACACACACACACATATATATATATATAGGTAAAATAGGTTGCTTACAGTAGGCCTTCTGCTGAGCCAATTGCAACCTTCATTCTTTTTTTCCAATCTAATTGGACTTCACCAGCAAATTGGCCATGTAGATGAGAAAGCAAGCTGAGATTTGGCATGTAATCATAGACGATGAGGCGTTGGTCAGCCCCCGCGCAATACCCCCTCAGTCCCAATAAATTCTTGTGCTGAACCCTTCCAAGTACCTCTACTTCCACAGCAAATTCCATCTCCGCTTTCAGATTCATGGATTTCAACTTCTTCACTGCGATCTGCACATATATATATATATATATATATATGCAAGCATGATTATAAATTAATAAAAAATATATATCATTATATATATTATACTTGTATATATGTATATTACCTGGAGGCCATCTGAGGTTTTCCCATAGTAGACACTTCCAAATCCTCCTTCACCAAGCTTGTTATCCTCACTGAAACCGTTGGTAGCTGCATGTAACTCCTTGTAAGTAAATATTCTCCATGAATTGTTACCTCCACCAACTGTCAACCTATAAACCATACATGCCTCAATTAATTAATAATAACAATAAATCTAGCTATAACCAACCACAATCACGCATACATATGTATAGGCTATACAAATAATTAAAAGTGAATATATATATATATATATATATATAATTAGTTAGTTGTAGTTGTTTCACATACCCTTCATCAACCTTCTCTGAACCACAGCAACTGAAGGATGACCCCATGTTTCCGGCCAGTGAGTGCCAAATGAGGTTCCTCTTCAATTTAAATGTGAATTATAATTATTTATGTAATGTAGTATGTCATTCTGATCGATCACTATTTCATTTTGCTGCAGCCGACCTTGGCCGGCAGGCACAATTAAGTTGCATAACATAATTAATAAGGGTTTTTAGTGACTAAAGTGAAATACTAATTAAGAATTAGCTATATATCTAGAAGGAGGTCAAAACACATTTGTGAACTCCACCATATATAGCTGCACTATGTGAAATGAGTGCCCAATTTTTAAATACCACTAGTCTTGGGATGGTCCGTCATCATCCATCACAACCGTAACAGTAACTTTTCATTGGATGACTCCTCATACTTTGTCATTTACTCATTACAGTCCGCCGTTCCATACCAATAACTCCATCACCACATATATGCACCATGTCCATCTATAACAATGTACATATATATGTATAAGTAGATAGAAATCTGGACACAATATCATTTTTCATTTATTTTTGGGTAAACTGTACTATTTTAAAAAAAAAAAAAATTGGGCAAATTACAAGTGGGGTTAACCATTCATAAACTTGTTCGTTAAGAGCCAGAAGTAATTTTGAGTGTGAAAAGTCGATAATGCCTTTATATTATAATAATCTATTATACTGTATTTCATAGAAGGGAAAGTCAAGATTGTCATTTTATAAAATTTGGTCAACAAATGAGCTGAAAATAAAACAATAGGGAAGCTCAAAGTAATAAACGTTCAACAGCCAACTCGTGTGTAATTTGTCTAAATTTTAGAAGGAGAAGTCGGTGTAATTAATTTACTCTTTATTTTTTATCCCCTGCAACGGGTTATATCTAAGTTTTACTGATAGAACCAACTAATTTCTTTGGAATAATTTTTTTTTTTTTGACATGTTAAAAATATATAATTAGAAGATATAAAAAGTTACATCATATCTAACCGACCAATTGTTGTACAATTAAAATTTGCGAGTGGGTTTTTGCATAGTCCAAATACTCTGTTCCACAATAAAATTCCGAGTGAGTGGCCGGGTTCAATTATCTCTATTACTTCAATTTGGCATTCCCTTTTCATGGCACTTGTTTTAGCTTAATTGTTATTTATCTTTGGAGAAGGTGAATGGGCTCAACCCAAAATTTGGCATCAGTTCAAAAGAGGGGTAACAACAATCAAAATGTCAATTGTAAAATAATCTCAAACTGTCACAATTCACAATTTAGGCTATCACGCTGTAGGTATTGATTGTCTTTCATTTAAAGGTACCATTAAATAATTGGATTTTTGGTATTTGAATTGATCTCTCGGGTTCAATCGATTCTCCCACTAAAATATTTAATGGGATCATTGGGATGCAAGGACTTCTTCATAACCAAATTGTGAGATTGAATCAATTTATAATTTTCAATTGGTTTATGGAGAAATCAAACTATTATTGATTTCGTGCCAAAAACAAAAAAGATGAGAAGATGATGGACATATTGAAAAAAAAAAAACATTCTGCAGTGGGTATAACAACGGCTAAATTGAGGTACGTAATTCTATTTTGTTGTTTAGGTAAATATCATTCAGCCATCAATTGTTTAACCAGATTCCAAAATTGAGCGGGAAAATAGATAGATAGATAGATAGTGAGTGCCACCTTCCTCTCTATAGAAAAATGAGGAAATAAAGAGCATTAGTTAACTATTCCATAATAATAATAATAATAATAATATCGCATTTAATTAATTCCTACTATAATCAAACAAGGACTAATTCCAAATTGTGAGCTATATATATGTCGCTCCTGACAAATGGAAAACTTGTTTAACAACCATCATGATATTGAATTACTACTACTACTACTAGTTTCCAATTCAGAGATTTAAGAAGTTGACGTTAGTTATCGCGCCAAGTGGACGGAGGAGGACAAGGATAACTCACCAATTGCGGGCCACTCCATGATTGAATAAAATTCTGATACTACCCTCAACTTGTCATCCTCTTGGTTCATCCGATTAGCACCCCATAAATTACATGATAAGTTGCTTTGAGGCAAAAAGAAAAATTGCGGCTAGTAAAAAAATGATGAATTTTATTGAAATTTACCATCACACACAATTTTTACACATTCACTTTGCTCGTTTGAAAACTCAAACACCAACCATCTTTTTTGAAAGGTAAAAAAAATACCACTGGATCACAAAAATTTTGGTGTTTAAGATTTTATTCAGCCACTTAAATGTATTGTTTTTTTAAACTTTACTTTTAAATGTGTTTGATAAAAATAAAAAAAAATGAAAAATAAATTAAAAAAATAAAAAACTATACATTTTTCAAATTGAGCAAATAAGGACAATTTTTCAAATAAGGACAATTTTTCAATCTGAAGACTGCAATACCTAAAATGCCCTTAAAACAAAATAAAAATAAACAAATAAAATAATAAGGGGTGTCTTTGTTAATTTTATCAAACCTGATGGGGTGTCATTGTGAAAAAATCAATCAACTTATATATACCTGTCAATAGTTAAAACTTCAAGGAGTATGAGTGTAATTTTTGTAATTTTATAAATCCCCAATAAATTAGTTTTTATTTATTATTTTTAAATTTTAAATTTTTTATTTATTATAGAAAAAAATTACCTAAAATTCCCTTAAGAGTATTTTGAAATTTTTATAAAAAACTTGGTCAAAACTATTCACCAGGGGGCAACTTACTCCAAATTTTCAAATACATAAATTTATATGCACTTTATAAAAATCAAGAGTGTTTCTTGAATATTTTTTATATAGCAGTGGGTTTAAATAATACAGATTTTAGCACAAGCTTTTAATTGAATCTAAAATGTCTAATCTTTAAAACTACATTTTGAGGAGTACATTTTTTCTAACTGTATTTCTTTGTACAATTTTATTGCTTTTTTTATTTTTTTTTGTAAGAGCAATTTTATCCCTTCTTTTGTAAGTCATATTATTAACAAATATAAGAACACTTTAATAACATTATTATAAAGTTAGCTTTAAAAATGTTTTAAACATTATTGTTACCAAAAAAAAAATTAAAGACTATCACTTTAATTAAAAAAATACTTTATAATTTATCACCAAATACTTATGACTCCACATTTTTGTAAGCCAATTACCAAGGATTGTAATTTAGTGGTACTTTATATCACTTTTCAAAAATAAAATACAAAAGTTGAAGACCTCGTGGGGGCAAGTTTATTTTTTATTTTTTATTTATTTTTTATTTTTTGTAATTGGCAAGAAACTCACACATACCCACTTTGCTCCTTTGAAGATTCAAACCCTCATCATCCACTTTGGGGGTAAAATGAATGTGTGAGTGTGTTAATTTAAAAGGCTTGAATTTTGCATGAATGAGTCTATATATAGATCCCTCAAATAATCCAACTTGTTAGACTAATTTCATTCTTTTTAGGGTCGTCAGCAATAAACATCCCTATAGTATGCATATAAAATAGGGTAAAATGCAAAAAAAAAAAAACCCTGAATTATTGGGGTTTTGCAACTAACCTCCCGAACTGTAAAAAAACCACTGAACTATGATTTTATTGCAGAAAAAACCCCTAAACTATTGTTTTGTTACATTCTGGTAGGCTTTGAAGTACGGACACGGATACAGGACACGGGTACGATACGACACGGATACGGCGATACGGCAAATTTCAAAAAAACAAGACACAGACACGGCAAGAATACGGCAATAAAATTATATATATATATATATATATACTCAATTTTTAATTTATTTTTAATAAACATAAACTTTTAAGCCCATTATTCTCTTGAAAAATATAGGCCCAAATATCTTTAAAATATAAACAAAAAAAAAAAAGAGGTATCACTTCTCTTTTTCTTATAATTTTATTTTATTTTATTTTTTGAAAGTTGAATGTTGTATAAATAAAGAAGTTACAAAAAATTACAATGGCCTTGCCATGATCAAAGGTCCAGCGGCTCCAGCCCAAGAAGTTTGGACAACGACCAACAGGTTAGCAACAATACAAGTGTTAGGAGCAAGGCCCAGCCCAACAAGACAGCTACTAGAGAAAACCCTAGAGTAATTGCTTCCAAATAGGAATCATCCGGAAATTAGAATGAGGCGACGAAGACGCTGTTAGATCAGAAGGCTCAGCCGGCGGCCTCACAAGACGGCAGATGCTATTAGATCTGAAGGCGACGAAGACGCAATTAGATCAATTCCAAATCGCAAACTATTTTCGAAGCTTTTCATTGGCCAAAAGTCTGAAAATGCAAGTTCTCTCTTCTCTTGAAACAGACCTTCTCATCTCCTCCATCTCTCTCCCTCCCTCAATCTATTTTTCTATGCATACACACAATCATATATATGTATATATCTCTTCATCTCTCTCTCTCTTTTCTTTTCTTTTCTTCTTTTTTTATTACAAAAAATTTGAACGCCGTGTCCTATGCACGTGTCACCGGCGTGTCCTTCGCCGTGTCGGCATGAAAAAAATTTAAAAAAAAATAGGACGCCTCTACAAAGTGTCGGACACGTGTCGGGGCTTCGGACACGTGTCCGATGCCGATACGACCGTCCATTCCCACGTGTCGATGCTTCACAGCCTGTAGGTGACTTGGTTAGAAATATTAAAAGACAAATTTACCCTTTTTTAAAACTAACGTCATTTTGAGAGTGGCCATTGATTATTTCATAAACCAATAAAAAAAAAAAAAAAAAATTTGTTCTCCTATTTCCCTACTCTCTCTCTTTCTTCTCCATTTTCTCTCTCCTCCGACCATCCACATAACCCAATTCTGTCTTCAATGGGAAGTTTTTGTTCGGAACTTTCATAGAGGTCAATAAGTCAAGGTTCACCGGAATTTTGCAATGGGTTTTATTGGCTGTTGGCTCGGTCGTGGAGAGCTTGGGGCGGTGAGCAGTGGATTGTGATGGTGAACTCGCGGCGGCTAGCTCGGCTTTGATGGTGTCGGCTATGAATGAGGCGGCGGCGAGCTCAGAACGGGGAGGTCTGCGGATGAGGCGAAGCTTGGCGGTAAGCTTGCAACGGTGCTCGGAACACGGACAGAGGTGTGCTCTGCCGGTGGAGATGGCTAGTTCAAGACGGCATCGAATCAGCGACTAAAGAAGTCGCGATTCCGGTGATGGTCCGTGATTGGGTTTGATTGCAACCGGCGGGACTGAACGGCTATGAGCTTGGCTTCGGATGATGACGGCCGGCGGTGGAGAGGACGGGTGTGGCATAGCTAATCCTCACCGGATAGTTTGCTCATCGTTGCCGTCGTCTGGTCCACTTCTCTTTGTTGTTACTGGAATTGGAAGTGGAAGGTCACAGATCGCCGCCGTGGTTTTTAGGACAATCGCCGCCGTCGCCGTTGACCGGACACTTCACTGGCTAACATTCCACTCCTTAACCAAGTTCGCCCTCTACTTTGATTTACGATTCAGGTAACTGGTGGTGTAACCAACGTGCCTGTCGCGCGTGACAGTATGTTAAAAGAGAAGAGGTCGGTTACACTGTGGTACGATACCTTTTTTAGAGAAAAAGAGTGAAAGAAGAGATCGCCAACGCCGCAACTATCTCTCTCCCATCGATACAATCTTTGTACCATATAAAACCCTAATTTATCTCTCTAGACTCTACGCATAGGTGAACTAACGTAACTTTGAAGGAGGATTAGCTTTATTAATTGTTAAATTTTAATATGGGAGGTTTATCTGATTATGTAATGGCAATTTATGTGGCTTGGTTGATTTGTGATCAATTTTGTGGTTTTATGGTGGATCTGCGTATTTGGTGCAGAGGAGGAAGTAAAAGATTGAGTCGATCATGCGTGTATGCATCCTCTGTGTGAATTTTTTTTTTTTTCCTTTCAGGCCACACACACACACACACACACACACACACATATATATACACACACACACACAGAGGAAGGGGGAGAGGAGATGAGAGCTATGTTCCAGCGAGAAAGATCAACAGTATAAGGGTGTGTTTGGGTGTTTCAAAGAAGTGTAGATTTAATAGTGAAAATAAGGGGCATTAGTTTCTTTTCATGGCCATGAAGGCATTATAGTCATTAAAATTATAATGTATGTGATGTGACCATCACATGATGACTTTAACGATAAGATCCAACCGGGTAAGATTCGTTCGGAAAAGTGGCGGAAGGGGTCATTTACAACAAAAATGTATAATTAGGGGATTAGTTGCAACTTTAGTAGTTCAGGGGTTAACTAACTTAATTGCTCATTCCCCAATAGTTTAGGGGGGGTTTTTTGTACTTTACTCTATAGAATATATATATCCCTGTATAAGTTTTGTACTTTACTCTATAGAATATATATCCCTGTATAAGTTCTTACAAGTCCCTAATTTTTACTTTTGGTGCAAAAAAGGGCAGGTTGTCAGTGAAGCAATTAAAAGACTAAAGTGCCCTCATGTAATTGAATAAAAAAAATGTGAAAAACTAAGTAAATGTAAAATGACTAAAATACCTAACCATCAATATAAAGGATAAGGGTGTTATTTTGTCCAAAATATAAGGGGCATTTTGGGAGAGTAAAAAGGTATTTTAGAAATTTTATAACTTAAAATAACCATATGCCACTCAAATAACTTTTTAAAGGTCATTTTTTAAGCCCTTCTTTGTCACATTTTTCAAATTTAAAGAACTTAAATCTTTAAAATAAAGAATAGGGATTTTATTTGTTTAAAACGTAAACAATAAGTATGTTTTTTTTTTTTTCTTTTTACCCATAAAGTGAAGGTAGGTGGGTAGAGATACTTGGATACATTTGGGTCTACTCTTCGAATTAACAGTAAGTAGAGGTCTCTACTCTTCAAATTAACACAGCAAGTCGATTATTTTACTTCATGGAAGTAAACATTGATCAAAAGTGATCTCATATGGTTATCCCAAAGTGGCCCATGGGACAGATTCATTCGAGTCAACCATAGGCCAGGTTGAGAAATGGGCTAGCTTATGCAGATGGTCTTCAATGTTAAATTTGCCAAAGCCCAAGCTTAGTTTATAGGTCAAGGCTTAAATTGATTAATAAAAGAACCAGGCTAGCTTCTATGAAGATTATTCAAATGTATTGAGAAAAGTATGCAATCTAGCTTTGATTTGTATGGTAGAATGTTAAGTGCATCACATCAGAAGTTGAGAGATCAAGGCTTTGATTATATATCAAATGAGATTTGCCCATTTATTTTTTTTATTTTTTTTATTTGTTCTTACCCACAACGTACACTTGCAGAGTAATAGCAAATGTATCAAATGAGATTTGCCCATTTAATTTTTTTTTTTTTTTTTATTTGTTCTTACCCACAACGTACACTTGCAGAGTAATAGCAAATGACTAAGTTGTCTCAATGTGAGTCAATGATGACTTAATAAACCTTACTGAAATGAATTAAAATCCTTAATTGATTTCAGATATGTTAACTTTAAGAAAATTTCCACATCAAGCATTTTCTGACCACCTTCTGCTTTTCATTTCACCTTTCTATCAACTACATTGAAATGTGGACGTTTTTATGCAAAGAATAATGGAGCCAAGTAGTACGCGACATTTATATGATGCTACATATAATTTAAGCCAGATATACACTGAGATGTAATTTTCAAAGCATGTTTTTGGAAGAATAATTGCAACTCCCAGTAACATACATATATATATATATGCTCCTCTGTCATTATAATTGGAATGTTATGATTTGATGTCAAGTCCACAAGGCAGACAAGAAGGATCAATTTTCAGCTTGTGAAATTTAGGGTTTAAACAAGGTCCGTGAGCAGTATTCTTAATGGGTGATTAATTTGGGGTAGTCCAGCCAGCCCTAGGAGAAGTGTTTTTTTTTTTTTTAAGTTAAAAGGTAAGCAAGCCCTAGGAGAAGTTGGATTAATGTAGGTCTCAAATTAATTAGGGTTGTGGGAATATATGTTTGATGGTGACCTTAATGGAAGTTGTTCTAATACCACTTCCTCGATCGGCATGCTGGGAGCTGTTCATGTGTAAGCAAACTTCCATTTAGTTGCTACATAAAAGACGACCCACCCCACACATAATTCTGTTAATTTGAAAGACATGCCAAGGTGCCCATAGATTTTGTGATCTACCTAAGCTACTCATTTTATTTTCACCATCTTCTTAATTGGAGCTTGGCAAAAGTCAAACAAATGTGTTATAATCACGCGAACACCATTTTGTTTTGTAGCCTCACAGTTGGATTGGTTCCGGTTAAACCTATTAATTTCAGTGTTTTACGTACTTTTTGAAAATCAAAAGATTGTACTGCACAGTACAATACCACCGATCTCCGGCTTCCGCATCCCCACATCTTTTTTTCTCAGGCTTACATATATATATATATATATTCCTTTTGCAGTTGTCTGGAGCTTTTTATGTTTTTTCTATGGATAAGATGGAAATGTATTGCAACTTTATTTCCCTTCCAGCTTTTTGTAAGTCAATTAGTCCATTTTCTTGATATATATTATATTATTCCTACTGAGTATTTCTCAAAAACTAGCAGCAAGAGCAAGTATTGTCTGTCCATTCCGGTTCGATCTGCACTCCAAATGTATTTTGTTGTAATTCTTAATTTCGAATTTGTTAATTCTGATATTCATAACGAAGTCATAAAACTGTTTCATTTCCTCAAAACCCAATTTAACAACTTTTTTTATATATACTACGATTTTCAAATAGTAGCTAAATTGAGAGTGATTCTTAAAATACTATTAACGAGTAACAAGTCGAGCTAACATATATATACGCCTCCATTATCCATCATCCATTCCATGGTAATTTGGAATTTATTCTTAAATGCGCCATTTTGGGTGTGGACCTTGGATAGCTAGCAAACACTCCAGTCTCATGCGTACAATTACAGGGTATATATATAATATAATATAGGCATCATCATCATCATCATCATCATCATCATGAGGATTAGTCGTATACAATGTCCACACAACGTACACACACAAACACTGTTTCTGCTCACCGCGTAGAGAGAATTAATAACCTATTGGGATGACTTACACGTGTACTTTTCACACCACATCCTTGAGGGAGCACCTCTGTATTTACCAAAAATGCTCAGCCATTTGAATTGAACCGGACTTCAATTTGTAGGAATTAATATATCGTGTCAAGTATCAAGTATATATAGATGATTTCAAATTTGTGAATTAAAAAAAAAAAAAAAAAAAAAAAAAAAAAAAAAAAAAAAAAAAAACATCTCGACCAATCTTCCATTTCAGTCTCCACAGCAAAAATACTTACATTTCCGTCATCTATAAATTAATAATAAATATAAAAAGGAAAAAAGAAAAAGGAAAACAATATTTGATACTGTAATAATCTAAAGGCAACAAAGCCCACCGGAATCTAAGAAACAGAGAAGCCGGAGACAATATATCGATCTAAGCCATAAAGAATTAAAAGGAGCCTGTAAGACATAGGAGCTGAATGTCAAGAAGAATGAAAGAAATCAATTAAGGTGGGTGCTGATCCGAGGCCTCATGGGTTACAGTGTTCCTGTTTTGAAGCTTTTCGTATCCTTCCTCTACTGATTTCTCGCTTCTGCTACTGCTACTGGTGCTACAACAACTAGTGTTACTTCCAAAAGAAGAAGCTCTGCTTGAAATGGGTGTGGCCAAGTAGGTCGGCTTCTCTTGTCCTGCCATTATCACAAGCTTCTCCACAAACACTGGCGCAGGCTCTTTCTCTTCCGAATTGGAATTGGAATTGGCATCATGGCCTCCGGCAGCCTCAATGTCTCCCTCTTCCTCCTCCACAGACCCCGAAAGCTTCCAGTAGGAGCATGCCAGGATCAAGAGAGCGAAGGCAATGAGACCCAACATTGCCGCCAGACCACCGAAGAGGTACGGCACCGGCGAGTGCCACGGTGACCGCTGTATAGCTACAGGAGCCGTCGAGGGCTCGTTCAAAGCCTCTGTAGTCGTGGTCATTGATGGATATATATATCGATTTGGAGATGAGAGAAAGCAAAAGGATGAGGAGATGGAGTACTGGATGAGAATTCAAATATGGTTTCAGGTATTATTTATAGAGAGAGCAAGTATTGTGATAGAAAATGAGACTGACGGTTTTGGGTTGGACAAAGAGAGAAAGAATAGGTGCTTTTTGTGTTATGTCGTCATTTTCGTTGAGGGGCGGGTCCCATCATACCTTCTCCTTCCATATCTATCTAATTGCACACTAAAACGCACTTTACCCAATAGATGGTTTTGGTGCAATTAAGTATTGATTTTATTTTACTTTATATACATTTAAGGTGTATGCACAATTGCACATCGGTTCATGCCTACCGTACATCTGTGGTACACCACACGCCCCCAGTTGATAAACAATGGTCCCCCATAAATGATTCCACCTGGTTTATAGATATATATATCTATAAACCCACACGTGTGTTACATCAACTTGAATAGTTACATCCAACCCCGATGATTTGTTTTGTGATGTGATGAGATGGGGCTATAGCCATACTGTGTGATTGTTTATATACACATTTGTTATGAGTAATGCTCCATTTCTAAAGCAGCAGTGCATATTAGGTAGGTCCCATGCCCAATTGATCCACAGTGTGTCTGTGTTATCGTCTTCTCTCTTCTTTCTTTTTTCTTTTCTGTTTTTTATTTAAAAGTAACATCGACATTTGCTAATTCAGTCTATCATCAGTCTTTCTTTTCCAATTTAATTGTTTTGGTGTGTATGGGCTATCTTCGAGAATTACATGCATTATGTGATATTTTTATCCCCCCCCCCCCCCCCCCCCCGCGCGCGCGCGCGGGGGGGGCGCATTTACAACTAAATAAAAAGAGAGAATTAAGATGAGTCCAGAGTATTATTCGGGGTAGTTTGTGATACCCCCGAATTTCCGAATGCGGGTTGGCCAGGCCCACGCCCGAATACCCGAGGATATCAAAACAAATTGATAATAAACGAACACAGAGTACAAAAGAATAAAGAAGAATAAATAAAATGCTGACAAGAAACTAAAATGATAATCTAATAATAAATCTCATAATATATTTCCATTAATTAATAAACTCTTCTGATAAAACTGATCCTCCAAAATACAACTCGGGAATCCATACTGTGTGGACCCCTAGAAAATCCAAACTAAACAAATGACAGTATTCTAAAACAGGAAACTGAATCATAAAGGAACTCCTATGTAGCATCGGAAGAATGAAGTAGATTGATCCCCGCTCAGCACGAACAACCTCTACTCGTGACGAACACATGAAAAACAATGGTGGGTCAGGCCCACAAACAAATTCTACTCTACTACAGTCCAAGCAGAGATCCGATACACGTATACATCCTAGTCAATCCAACAGTAACTAGTAGTCCGTATATATATATACACACACTAAAGGAACCTCACTAGACTATAGGGTTGTCTCAACCTGAATAGTAGGCAACATGCAAAACGCACATATAGTGGGCATGAGTACCTAGACCTACCAGGGTACACAACTACACTATATCTAGCTACACATCCCTGGCGATATACGCACCCTAACCACTGATCCTGAGACTCAAGCTCATATCATGGCACCATACTTATATATATAAAATCTAGTGACCATCCTATCCAGTATAAATTAATCCTCCATAAGTCATTCAAGTTGTTCAGCTGACCTGACTTGAATATAAGTAGGACTTAATATTTTAGTTAATCCATTCCCTTATATAATAAATTAATCCTCTATAAGTCATTCAACTTGTTCAGCTGACCTGACTTGAATATAAGTAGGACTTAACATTTTAGTTAATCCATTCCCTTATATAAAATAGGTAGGACTTAACTGATAAGTTAATCCGTCCCTAGAATGCCACCGTCCCATACCGGTGCATTAAACCACACAATCCAACAATTGATGTAATAATTAAAGAAATACATCAAACATTCCAGAAATAACTATGATAATATGATATCAAGTTATCACAGAATATGAATGACTTATTATTTATTTAAACTCATATATCATATGTCCTACACAAACTGAATCTTATACATGATGATATTTTATTATATCGTCAAATAAGCATTCTCCATATCCAATTCATCCTACACATTTATTCTCAATTGCTAAAGCATTTTAAAAGATTAAATCCATTCGTTTGTGTAAACATTTAAATAGCAAGCATCGTTATGATTGAGTGTATTTAAATTTATTTAAACCAAAACCTAGTCCCTATTTAATGTTCAGGAATCCTAGGCATGTTTCTACGTTCCATCATTCCACATATATGAAAAATACATAATTCAAACATATAAAAATTCACACCAGAAATCAAATCAAAATCATGCATTTTTTTAATTTATAACACAAGAACAGATATGACCCAATTTCACAAAAACCTATACTTTAATCCAATTAAACATGCATAATTATTTAATTTTATGTGTTTAGTAAATCCTGGAATTTCCTAGGCATGTACAGAAACACGAATCAAAGGGAAAGAGATAGAAGAAGAACTTGCCTTAAACTTTCGGATTGAAAGTTAAACTTCTTCTTCCTTGATCTTCTCTCTAAAGGGTTTTCTCCTCCTTCCTCCCTCTTTCTCATTCTCTCTCTAACTCTCTCTCTAGAATATATTACGTGATATATTTTCACTCCTTTTTCAACATATAGTTGTGTATTTATAGGCTAAATAATAACCCTATTCCTTTTCCCAATCCAAGTCAACTTAATAAAAAAAAAAAAAAAATGAAAATATTAAAAAGGTAACTTAAAATATGTTAAGTATATAATCTATGTATATCCTTATTAATTAAATAAAATATATACATTAGATTATTTAGTAATACTAAAGTTACCATAATATTAAAAGGTAACTTAAAACATGTTAAGTATATAATCTATCTGTATTCTCATTAAATAAATAAAATATATACATCAGATTATTTATTTATACTAAAGTTACCATAATATTAAAAAGGTAACTTAAAACATGTTACGTATAAAATATATGTATATCCTTATTATATAAATATATAAAATATATACATCAGATTATTTATTAATACTAAAGTTACTATAATATTAATAAATTACTTTCCTTTTTATATATATGTATATACATATATATCTATATATATACATATACAACTATCCATGGATAATTATCCATACCTATCCAACCTCCTATCCAAGCAGTCCATGGGATCCAATTGGTTGGCCAATTACCACTAACCATAACCATAAAAGAAAAATAAAATAAAATAATAAAAGAAATGAAAACATTTAATTTACAATTAATTAACATTAATCAAATACATCATTTAAGCACACAATCTAATTAAACAAATAATACAAATAACACCTAGACAAAATACAAATAACACATAGATAAGTAGCCAATTAATCAAGTAACACTTAATTCAATTAAACACATAAACAATTAGTCAAATAATCAATTAAACAAATAAAAAAAATATAATAAAAATAAATAAATAAATACCGAGACTATCCTTTTAAAATTAGGGGTATTACATAGTTGCAGAAGCTAGCAAATAAAGCTTTGATGACACTACTTTAAAGTTTAAAAAGCTTTTGAAACAAGTAGAAACGGTTTCAAAGCTGATGTAAGTTTGTACAGTTTTTGGACTCCACTCCATTGCCATTTTCGGATGGGCTTGGGGCCGTCACTCAACTTCAAACATTCATGTCCTTCTTTGTCTTTCTTTGCTACCTTAAGTGTCATTCATTAGCGGTTGCGTTTGCATCTATCTATATCTATATCTATATCTACACTTTAATTAGATGATTATTTTGTAGTAGGCTCTACAAAGACATAACTGTCGCTGACCGTCCTACAGCCCGTGCGGCAGCCTACACAATATTCACCCTGAGGCTTCATGCTAATAGGTGGGAACGGCTTTAGCTCCTGACCAATTTATGCAGGGAATGGCCACATGCCATTATGTGAGACCTGTACGCCCTTTTCTTCAAACCAATTCAGTCAAGTGCTTCCGCCTATCAATAAACATGAATCTTCCTTGCACCCAGCATGAAGCCTTTGCCCCTGTAACAATAACCCTCTTTAATTTGTTCAACCATTGGGATCAGGATAGGTTTTTACATTTTTTTTTTTTCTTCTTTTAAGTTAATACTTATGTAACCCTCCCCCAAGAAATGATTTGCACTAATTAAGAAGAGTCGAAGTCACATAATTCTTTTCAACAAGTGTCGCTCTCATGCTCCGAATGCACTATCGCTCTTATGCTCCAAATGCGCTCTCGCTCTCACACTCCACACACTCTAATTCTCATTCCTATTCTATATGATTTAGAGATTGCCGCTCCCGTTCCTTGTGACTTAGAGTCAAATTGTAGACTTGATGCAACCTTAGGCATGAGGACTAACTGACTTACTCATTAAACCAATTCCTAAGGTGTTTATACGGACTTCAAATATTCCTTCAAATGAGAATGGGAAGGGATGTGAACAGAGGAGTACTACCCTTACTTGTGTTTGTGCATACATGTATTATGACCTGGAGTGAAGCAATCAAGTAATTCTCTGTCATACTAAGAATAGATTGAAACAATTATTGAAATTTATAGCGACATCAAAATACCTTATACTCCTAAAAGCATCCGGGGCACAGTAATTGTAGAGTGATAATGTGTCAGTGTAGAGAGAAAAAGGGGCGGTATGCTGAAAGAAATAGAATGTTTTTTTTGTGGGCCCTACAATCACTATCTATACCATTCTCCACAGACAAAGTAGCGTTTTGGAGAATACTTCATAATTTTTTTTCTTTGTTTAAAGAATCTAATAGAAAGGAAAAAAAAAAACAAAAGGCAGCTTCAACGGCTCAATTACTTCCAAATGGTCAATTACATTCAAACGGTAATAAAACGGCTATATTTTTAGCCTATAAAAACTAATTTCATCTTCAATAATTATCATCTTCAATAATTCTCTCTTTCAACTCTATAAATCCTCAACCTCTATTCTATCGCCCCCATCTCAACCAATCTCATAACTCCGAATTACCACCGTAATCCAATTAGAATTTGGATTCTTCAATTTTTTTTCAATCCGAAAATCCATCTCAACCCCA